CCATTCTAAGTGCAAGACTTTACAGTTATCCTTATTGAACCTCATGACATTTCTTTTGATCCAATCCTCCAATTTGTCAAGGTCTCTGAATCCTAGCCTACCCTCCAGCATACTAATACTCCCCACAGCTTGGTGTCATCAGCAAACTTTGCTGAGAGTGCACTCCATCCCATCTTCCAGATCATTGATGAAAATATTGAACCAAACTGGCCTCAGGACCGACCCTCGGGACACTCTACTTCATACCAGCTGCCAGCTAGACCAAGAGCTGCTGCTTATTACCCTCTGGGCCTTATTTTCTATCCACTGTACAGTCCATTCATCCAACCTATACTTCCTAAGCTTGTTTGCAAGAATGTTATGGGGAACTGTATCAAAAGCCTTGCTAAAGTCAAGGTATATCACATCCACTGCTCTCCCTGCATCCATGAAGTTATCTCATCATAGAAGGCAATTAGATTGGTCAGGCATGATTTGCCCTTAGTAAATCCATGCTGACTGTTCCTAATCACCTTCTTTTCCTCCAAGTGCTTAGAAATGGATTCCCTGAGGATCTGTTCCATGATTTTTCCAGGGGCTGAGGTAAAGCTGGCCAGTCTGTAGTTTGCTGGATCCTCCACCTTTCCTTGCTTAAGGATGGGCACTATATATGCCCTTTTCCAATCATCTGGGACCTCTCCTGACTGCCCTGAGTTTTAAAGGAAAATGGCCAGTGGCTTTGCAATCACATCGGCCAACTCCCTCAGCACCCTTGGATACACTGTCAAGCCCCATGGACTTATACACATCCTGCTTTTCTAAATAGTCCCCAACCGGCTCTTTCACCACTGTTGGCTGCTCATCTCCCCTGCAAACTGTGCTGCCAGGTGCAGTTGTTTGGGAGCTGACCTTGCCTGTGAAGACCGAGGCAAAAAAGACATTGAGTAATTCAGCCTTTTCCACATCATCTGTCACTAGGTTGCCTCCCCTATTTAGTAAGGGACTCACACTTTCCCTGATCTTCCTCCTATTGCTGACATATTTGTAGAAGCCCTTCTTATTACACTTCCTGTCCCTTGCTAGTTGCAACTCCAATTGTGCTTTGGCCTTCCTGACTTCATCTTGGCATGCTCAAGTAATACTCTTATACTACTCCCTAGTCATTTGTGCAAGTTTCCACTTCTTATAGGCTTTTTGTTTTTTAGCTCACTGAAAAATTCCCTGTTAAGCCAAGCTGATCTTCTGCCATACTTGCTAGTCTCTCTGTGCATTGGGATGGTTCATTCCTGTGCCTTCAGTAAGGTTTCTTTAAAATATGACCGACTCCTTCCCCCTCAGACTGGCCTCCCAGGGGATCCTGCCCATCAGTTCCCTGAGTTGAAGTCTGCTTTTCTGAAGTCCAGGGTCCTTACTCTGCTGTTCTTCTTCCTTCCTTCCTTCAGGATCCTGAACTCAAATCATCTTGTGATGACTGCTGCCCATATCGCTATCCACTACTACGTTCCCTACCAATTTTCCTGTTTGTGAGCAGCAGGTCAAGAAGAGCACGGCCCCTAGTTGGCCACTCCAGCACTTACACCAGGAAGTTGTCTGCAGCATTCTCCAAAAACTTCCTGGATTGCCTGTGCACTGCTATATTGCCCTCCCAGCAGATGTCAGGGTATCAGAGTGATTGAAGTTCCCCATGAGAACCATGTAGTAATAGTTGTAATACTTGTAATAGTATAAGTGTTAAATGGAAAAATGGAGGCAGAGCATTGATGTTATGGGACTTAACAATTTTAAGATGTAAAAATTATGTGGAAGATTTGAGACAAGGAAAAAATCAGATAAGGAATTTGAGACCGGGGGGGGGGGGGGGGGG